ACACAATTAGCTGTTCGTCATTCACCCAAGATATTGTGGTGTCAGGGCAGACTTTGGTTCCCATGATGCTTCATTCATGATTTTCTGTTATGTGATGTTAATGTTTACAGGTTGTGTGAACGCTGGATCAGTTTGGGTAAGTACTATGTTTAGGTGTGTTAGCTACTGTCGTCCAGGTTTGGGTCCTGATTCCTAACCCCGGCAGGATTCTGTATTGGGCCACAGCCGAGCCAAAGGTTTAAAGCAGGGGTCGGCAACCCAAATGTCGTTTTTTTTTGTTTTTTTTTCCTTTCAACAAAATTCAAGCCACCCTGGTAGCCACAACATTTTGATTTTACCATTTTGGCTGTAAATATGTCTCAGTATTTGCTAATGTGCTAGCATAGGCTAGCAGACTTACTTTGCAGCTCAGCTATAGCTGCTTTTCTCGCATCTCCAGCAGGAAACTTTTCTGCAAAAGTGGAACAGTTTCTTTTAAAACGTCTCTCAAAGTCTGACTTTTTACAAGGCTGAAATCAGTTTTCTGTTCCATCTTATATGGTGTTGTTGATTTATTGCTTATATTTTCAAAGTGATGTCCAACATGTGGTGACTTAACGTAGGATGACCATGTATCCTCTGTTTCTAGGACCTGTCCTCTTTCTGTCACTTAAAATGTGATTTCAAAAAACCCAGGATTTCTAAATTGCCTAAAATGTTCAGGATTTGGTTTTGATTTCATATTTGCTTTTTTACAGTCTGCAAAGTGTCGCCCTCATGTCCACCGTGTCCTCTTTGTTTGGAAACCAAAATTTGGCCACCCTAGTTAACTACTTTAGGCAGCAGTTCACTTAATGTCGTACCAATATGAGCAGATAGCAAAAGAAAAAGAATGATTATGACCGAAAGCTGAAAGGAAATAAAGTCTGGGAGCTTTTAAACTGAAGGATAGTCACACACCACACCAAGCATGCAAACTTAAAACCTGTTTTCATGGTAAAGCCTACATTAAGCAGTAGTCTATGCATGCACGTTATTTTGTATTCATTTACCTTCAGTGTGTATGTGAATGGAGATTTTCATCAGACTGTTGAGTGGAGTGTGTATATAAACACCCCAGTCTTAATCTAAAAATTTTATGATGAAAGTGCCAATAGAAATGCTCCAAAACTGCATGGAATAAAATCTCTTTCCATTAACTTGCATTGACAGTAAAGAACATGTTTGCCCCCTCATGTAAATGTACCATTTTGGAGATACTTGTTTATCTTTGGACAGCGACTATATATTGCTTGATGCCTGAGACACTGGGGCTCATTCACCAACTGTACTTAGATGAAATTTCTTCTTAAAACTTACTTACATAGTTTTTATGAAGATTCTGACATTCACACTTTTTCTTATTTGGGATTTGTTTTTAGGTAAGAACAGAATCTACACACACTTAACAGCACAAAGGTGCCAACAGTTCTGTGATTTACGAACACGTCGTGAATCTAACGTAGGATTTTTTTTTTTTCTTAGGACCTTTCTCAAGAACACATTTAAGAAAAAACTTAGGAAGACATTGGTGAATGAGGCCCATTGTTAATTGATAGTTTTGAGAAGTTTTTGGCCTAAAATGTACTTTTTACAAAATACATTCCTGGCGCAGTGAAACATAGCAAAAGTATTGTAAGCAAATCTGTAACTAAAGATATTTTTTTCCTATTCATTACTATTTAACAACTTTTTAACATTATCATTTTACAGCATTTAACATCATTACCAACATTAAAACATGTTTTTGTAAAACATAGTGAATTCTTGGTTGCTATAACCACCACTGCACAAAAGAAAATCTAAATTATGTAGAATTTTGGACAAATAAATGGAATTTGCCTCAGTTTTTATTTTATGTCTTTATTTTTTGTTTGTTTGTTTTATTTTTCTTTTCCATGATGATCATTTAGCTCTTGGAGAACATTTTGTCAGAACATTTGCCATTTTCTTGTTACATCTCTTCACATTTAAGCCCCACTTAAGCCTGTTTTTTGTAGCCTCATTTTCAAATAATTTGAATCAATTTCAAATAGATTTGCTTAGGTGGTTTCTGAGGCTGTAAAAATAAACAAAAACCCCAAAATTCAGCCTATAAGTTGGCTGCTAGCTGAACTCATTTCTAGCTCCAGCATGAAACTAAAGAAGCAAACTTTGGACACCAAACAAGTCTTGGTTAACTTAAAGGGAAAGAATAATGTATATTTGATGTTCCACTGAACTAATCCTTTAAGCACAAAGAGAATCCATCAATGTATAACATAATTTCTGATACGAGACGTATCTTTGAGAAGAAAAATTCCATAATAATTCAATTACATTGCCAATAACCAGCCACACTGCAGCTTGTGGAGCCGCTAAGTCGTCTTATTAGTTTCTTCACAAGAAGCATACATTAAGAACAGACACGGCGCTTTCAATCAGGATACAGTAAGCTCTTGGAATGAGTCATCAGAAGGAACCGCAACATCCACCAAACGAGCCGAAAACAAACAGACAAACAAACAACAGAAGACATTGCGCTGTCACCACTACCTACTTGCTTATCTGTTTTCTTTTTGCTTTCTCTTTTCTCCTCTTCATTTTCTCTTTTCTTTTTGCTAGTTAAAAATAGGCAGCTGTTTAGCATATCAAAGACAGAAGCCCGGGAGAGGGAGAGACGCCTATGAGCGCGACCCCCTGTATTCAGCGAGCAAAAGCTGTCGCTTCGTGCTAAACATTGTGTCTGAAGCCACCACCACCCCCCCCCGGCTCAACACACACACACTCCCTACCAAAACACCTTTACTGACAATTTCAAAATGTGAACAACTGCTACACGGCTACCCAGCTAATAATGGGGGCGGGAAAAAGCCCTGGGGGCTTTTATGTTATTTTGCTTTCTGTTTTCAGGAGGCCAAAAAAAAAATGTTTTCTTTGCTGCTGTACACTGCATGGCTCAACAACTTCTCTAATAGGAGCAGTTGGAAGAGAGAAGGCTTCCTCCACGGGCCTTAAATACGTAACGGAGTCTCACGATCGCTTAGAAACACTTGTTCCCTGCCTTTAAATGTTACAGAGGCACTAACAGGGCATGTTTCTGACCGTTGCTGGTCAGCAAGTGCATGTGAGGAGTAGAGACACTTCGTGACTGCCCTTGTCATGAGTAACTCTGAGGACGTCACCTGCAGCATGCAAACAAATGATCAGATATGGGATGCGAATGAGTACAGATGTGTTAATTCACAGCCTATAAATTCTGTTTTGTTTTTCATGAGCAAGTGTTGATAAACTGCAAGCAACAGTGCATAAAAATTAATCATCTGTGGATCATTCCACTTTTCGCCAGATGGGGGCACCATATTAGCCTTTTTTTTTTCCAAGAACAAACTCACCCCACTGCAAAGTGGAGCACAGATACTATTTAACTAAACCAACTTCTTTGAAAAGTATCCGTCCCTATTCTACCTGAATAGCAAATGAACAGCAGTTCTGATCCGTTCTTGTGCTCTTAAAAACATGGCTCTTCAAGGGTTTTCAGTAAAGATCAGTTCTATATAGAACCATTTCATGTTTAAGTGGTTCTTAGTGAAACGGTTCTTGAAACTGATGGAGAATGTGTTGTACGTGGTTCTATAAAACACCTTTTAGGCACAAAATAGCACCAAAAAAGGTGCTATATAGAAATATTTTCAAAAACACACCTTTTCACAACACATTCTCCACCAGTTGTCAATAACACCTGAAAGAATCTTCTTGGCGAAGTGTATTTATTAGCTCTAACTCTCAGGAAGCCCTCATTAACATCAGATAAGTGTCTTTTACTTGCTACAACCTCTTTCCCACACCAGCCACCTCAGCAATAACAAATCTTCATCCAAATTAGTGTCTATCCTACTCGAGATTACATTAGATTAGTAATAGGTTAGTAGAGTAATAGATTACATTCCTTAGCTTACAAGTCACTTGACTCAAGAAGCTCTTTGGAGGTCTCCTTTGTATATACCACTGCCCTGTCAGGACCCCCAACCCTTCCTGGGGTCCTATTATTTACTGTAGCTCATCATTATAGACAGGGTAAAAAGGGAAATTCCACTAATTTCTCAAAATGTTTGCAAACTCAGTCATTAAGTTGTAAATAGAGTCATGCAGAGTGGTTTAATGTGAAACGTTCCATTTTGGAAAAAGTCAGTGTCAGAATTGCTCACTATGGTAGTGACTGGAACCAGACGTCCAAACTATCCAATGCCCTGAAAAGCCACCTCTCAGAAAGCTAGTATATGAAATAACGCCTGAGACATCGTTTAAGATACTTTTGAGATCGTTTGTGGCCTTAAAATCTACTTAAAAATTGCATTCATGGCGGAAAGGAACGCACAAGGCGAATTCCTCCCTTTTTTTCAGACGTTTTTGCAGCTGTTCACAAAAGCGTTTACAACCATTATCAACATTACAGAAGCTCTTTGGAGGACTCTGAAGTTGAATTCCCTTCGTATATATCGTCGCCCTGCTTTCTCTTCTTCTCCACCCCCTCCACCCCCCCACCTCCATCCCCCCTCCCTTTTTGCATCTCCGCATTTCCTCCGTGTGGGTCTAGCTCAATGCAGCAGCCAAACCACCATGCTGAGACACTGACACACTGAGAGACCGAGAGACCGAGAGGGACGACGATGTGGACTACTCGCTCCGCGAGACTCGCACCGAGACCGAGAATAAAGTGGACTTTCTGACCCCGTCGTCGCGTTACGCGGTGGAGAGCGGCGTCTCTGTCTCTCTGAATGTACCGGACTCAACTGAATTATTCATTTCCCGCGTCAGTTCTGTCGCCCATCTCCCTTTTCTCCTCAACGTCTTTTTATACCCCCACTCCACCCCCCCCAACCACCACCTCCCCAACCTAGCCTTAATCTTCTTCTTCTTCTTCTCTTCTTCTTCTTTTGTGGTGATTAAACCGTTGTTAGGGAAGCGAGAGCTCCGTTTTCAGGGGTGAGTAAAGAGGATAAACAAGTGCGGCTGCTGTTTGGACTGAACATTATTGTTTAGTCGCCTCTCAGAACTGTTGAGGAGGTGAAGTGTAAAGGGAGGGAAGGAGAGAAGAGGGGAAGAGGTGGGGGGGCGAACTAGCGAGCAAGCGAGCGCGTGAACTGAACTGATGTTCCAGCTGAATCATTGACATTCGCGCGCCTCGCCTCTTCCTCCTCCGGCTGGAGAATGCCGGAGTTGGTCTCGTGCCTGCGCTCGAGCGACGCGCCTTCGTCGGTTCTGAGGTAAAACCGTCAGCCCCCCCCGCTTGTCGAGTGGCGAGAGCTTCGAGATGCCTCGCAAAAGCTCCGCGAGGCTGGGATTTTACCACAGAGCGTGCGCTGGGAACAAGTGGAGCCTGACTGGAAGAGACGCGAAGGCTGAAATCTGAAGCTGGACTGAATGGGAGCATTCCCTCTGCTGCGGTGTCATCATCTTTAGAGACGATAGACGATATTTTGGGACGTTGCGGGTGAGTTTTCAGTCCTTTTTGTGCTCCCTAGTATCACTTCTGGGCAGTGCTTTGGGACAGAAATGGTGAATTAGTAGATCCCGTTGGATAAAAAAAAAATACTCTAAGAACGAGAATCCTCCTCTGTATTCGACGGGCAGCTTTTTTTCTCTCTGCTAAGCAGTAAAATATGCTGATACTTATATGTTAAGTCAATTTAAAATAGCTGTAGTCAGTTTATCATGTGTTATTCATTGTTATTGTGTCAGTGGAGAGAGGGGTTTCATTTTATTCGGTTGACATCTACACATCTCAGCCGTTATTAGACATCAGGCAGAAAGCGGGATGACTGATTTGATCAAGTTCTCCTGTGCGCACAGAGAGGGAGATTATAAAACATCACTGCTGTGAAATCTTGCTGTGTTGCTGCATGAAAGTGTGGGGACCGAACATTGTTTTGATTGTCTTGTTTGTCTGTTTTCCCCCCCTCTAAGGTTACTAAATGGTTTTCTGGGGGATTTTTAAGAGGCAAAAATGCTGCTGCTCGTTCTGTTGGCCTTTTCCGTATCGAGCTCATTTTCCGACTCGGATTCTGACCTCTCGGCTGAGACCTGCAGCGCTTGCTCTTGCATGTCCATCGAGAACGTCCTCTATGTGAACTGCGAGAAAATAACTGTGTACAGACCGACGCAGCTGCTCCCTCCAGCATCCAGCCTCTACCATCTGAATTTCCAGAACAACCTTTTGTACATTCTTTACCCCAACTCTTTTGTGAATTTCACGCACGCAGTCTCTCTCCAGCTGGGCAACAACAAACTGCAGAACATTGAGGGAGGGGCCTTCATGGGACTCAGTGCGTTAAAGCAGTTGCACTTAAATAACAATGAATTAACAGAGCTCCGGGCTGACACTTTCCGGGGGATCGAGAACTTGGAATACCTCCAGGCTGACTACAATTTAATCAAGTATATCGAGAAGGGAGCCTTCAACAAATTGCATAAGCTGAAGGTCCTAATTCTAAATGACAACCTTATTCAGAGCCTTCCCGAGAACATTTTTCGCTTCGCCTCCCTCACGCACTTGGATATACGAGGGAACAGGATACAGAAGCTCCCGTACCTCGGAGTTTTGGAGCACATTGGGAGGATAGTGGAATTGCAGTTGGACGACAACCCGTGGAATTGCACATGTGATTTGTTACCTCTGAAAGCCTGGTTGGAGAATATGCCCTACAACATTTTCATTGGGGAGGCTATATGCGAGACTCCCAGTGATCTGTACGGTCGACTGTTGAAGGAGACCAACAAACAAGAACTGTGCCCTATGGGAGTTGGCAGCGACTTTGACGTGAGGATGCCCCCCTCCCAGCCAGAGGGTGGGCACACCACGTCCATCATTGCGCCATCCACGATAGCATCCTTAGTTACCAAAGCACCCAAAACTACAAACCCCTCCAAAATTTATGGCAACGGTATTGTTGCCGGTATTCCAGTGGGTAAAAATGGCCAAATTGTGTCCTATCAAACCCGAATCCCTCCCCTCTCCTGTCCTCAGCCCTGCACTTGCAAAGCTCACCCATCTGACTTTGGCATTAGTGTCAGTTGTCAGGAAAGGAATATCCAGAGTCTAGCTGATCTTATACCTAAGCCGCCAAACGCCAAGAAATTGCACCTCAGTGGTAATTACATTAGAAATATCAGCCCCACTGACTTCCAAGGGTTTGAGGGATTAGATCTGTTACACCTGGGCAGTAATCAAATATCCACCATCCAAAAAGGTGTGTTTGGAAATCTGACCAACCTCCGTAGGTTATACCTCAATGGCAATCAACTTGAACAGCTTCACCCTGAAATGTTCCTCGGGCTCAGTAACCTCCAGTACTTGTATTTGGAATACAACGCCATAAAGGAGGTGTTAGCTGGGACGTTTGACTCCATGCCAAATTTGCAGCTCTTGTATCTAAACAACAACGTGCTCAGAAGCCTGCCTGCTTATATTTTCGCTGGCGTCCCCCTCGCTAGACTGAATCTGAAGAACAATCACTTCATGACTTTGCCCGTGAGCGGTGTGCTGGACCAGCTTAGATCGCTCACTCAAATAGATCTGGAGGGCAATCCCTGGGAATGCTCATGTGATTTAGTTGCTTTGAAACTGTGGTTGGAGAAACTAAATGAGGGAGTCGTCGCCAAGGAGGTCAAATGTGCATCCCCAGTGCAGTTTGCAAACATCGAGCTACGAGAACTGAAAAACGAGATTCTGTGCCCCAAGCTCATTGCTAGGCCTCCTTTTATCTTGACTAGCGCCACCCCCGTGGTCACGTCCATGTCACCTGCTGGTGTTGGCAAGGCGCCTCCTGGTGGGCCGGTGCCCCTGTCGATCATGATCCTGAGTATACTGGTGGTCTTGATCCTTACTGTCTTTGTTGCTTTTTGCCTGCTGGTCTTTGTGCTGAGACGGAACAAAAAGCCTGCTGGGAGGCAGGAAGGCCTGGGCAGCCAGGAGTGCGGCTCCATGCAGCTCCAGCTCAGGAGGCACAATCACAAATCCAATAAGAAGGACGACCTCGGAGGAGAGACCTTTATCCCCCAGACCATCGAGCACATGAGCAAAGCCCATACGTGTGGCCTCAGAGACGCTGAGTCCGGCTTCAAGTTCGCCGACTCCCAGAGACAGAAAATGGTCTTGCGCACCAGCACAGATAAAGACAAGGACTCTCTAAGTCTGGATGCCAGGAAAAGACTGAGTACCATCGACGAGCTAGATGAGTTCTTGCCAGGAAGAGAGTCCAGCATGTTCCTACACAACTACTTGGAGAACAAAAAGGATTTCAACAGTATAGGGGTGAGTGGCTTTGAGATCCGTTACCCCGAGAAACCACATGACAAAAAAATGAAAAAGTCATTAATAGGGGGCAACCACAGTAAGATAGTTGTTGAGCAGCGCAAAAGTGAGTATTATGAACTAAAAGCAAAGCTCCAAGGGACCCCTGACTACCTTCAAGTACTAGAGGAACAGACAGCCCTCAGTAAAATGTAGGCCTCTCATCTTCATTTGCCCCTTAATGACAAAAAAAAAGTGCCTTGTGGGAAATATTAATGACCAATGGAATACTGGACAAAAGTTTAATTACTCAAAATATAACTTAGAATTGGTGGCTGTGTTACGATTTACCTTTTTGTTTTCAAAGTGATGATGCCATTACAAAGTATAAGAGTCACATCAGTCTATAAGAGAGGATTTACAGTACCTTATAACACATGTAGTTTGCTGCTATTGAAATGGGTTACATCAGATTATTTTTAACTTTTGTTTTTTAACCAAATTATTGGGTCATGAAACGGTGTTGAGTGTAATCCATATTGACCCTTGTTCATTGTTTTTTGGTTGGAAGTATTTTTAGGGTGCTTTGGATGACAAAATGAAATGGAGCTCGAAGATTGGCAAGTTGGGCGCAGGCATGAAAGTGTTGGAATCCCCCAGAGTCCCCTCTCTTTTGGATTTTAATTTGACACTTTTTTGGGGCCTTGAAACTGGTGGATTCAGTTTTAACTGAAGGCACTGACAGTTCGACGTGTTCGCATTTTGGATTATTCCGTCCATTGTTTCTGTAAAGAGCCATTTAAAATTGTTCTAATGAAATGTGATTCTTCTTGAAGTCTTTGGGTACGGCACATGACAGGACATTCATAAACCCAAGAAAACAAACAAACAAACAAACAAACAAACAAAAAAAAACTTCATAGCTGCTTGCCATGTAAGCGTATCTGATTTATTTTGTAAGTCAACATTATTTGTATTTGTGGGGCAGTTTGTAAATTACAAAGGTCAACAATTCTACAATCTCATCGAAACATAAATGGATTCAAGAAAAAAAATCGAAAATTAAAAAGAGATCGATGACCACTGTCACCTGTCAATTCGTAGTTTAATTAACTTCATATTTAATTTATTTTTCTATGCAGGATTATTTAAAGATTATTGGTACTATTTAAAATTTCAAGGGACATTGAGAGAACCAGGCTCTTATTTTGAGCTCTAAGTGAACTAACTCTTCAATTTTATTTTTTTGTTCTGACCTGTGTTCCATTATGAATTCTACAGACGACCAGGGTGTAGGAGGTAGAATCAGTGATAGTGATTTCATTTTCACTATTGTGTCGCACGTGGTGCGGCGTCATAGTGTATCCAGTCCAACAATTTGCTTAACCTTATAGCCCATGAGTATCTTGTAAAAGGTTTTTTAACAATATGCAACCAAAATAAGTGTGCATTAACGTGATATGATTCTGAATGTCATGGGAATCAAAATTGAATTGGGGACAATGTGTGTAGTAATTTATTTGCTTTGATTTTTTTTTATTTTCATTTTTTTATTTTTGAAAAAGACTGTGCATTTTTCACAATATCTTTGAAATTCAATGTGTTTTTTGCTAAAAGCTACTGATTTGGTCAGAATCATATCACACTCCATGTGCAATATTATGCTCAATCATATTAGCTTGACAATTTTACTTTGTTTGTCCGCTCGAGTTAATATTATGGAGAGAACTTAAGTTTTTTCTTTCGGAGGAAAAAAAAAAAAAGAGATTAATTTCATTCAGTCCTTATTTAAGATATTGTTAAGTTAATGATTGTTTGAAATAGAATGTACCTTGAAAGATAAAATAAATACAATTTTATATATCAGTCATGAGAGATCTGTACATTGGTTAATTGTGCCAACTTGTTGAGTTGTTGAATTTCAAGATACTGAAATCAGCTCTAATTTTCTGCTTGTTTTTTTTTCCTTTTCTATTTTTGTTTTCTGCTGATCAGACATGTTTTCTTTGATGCTTCTCTAATAAAAGACCCTGAATGCTCCATAATGAAAATTTGGGAAGATGCAACCTTTTAATCCACGCACTACCTTTTGGTCTGTACTCCACAGATTTTTTTTCAGATTTTCAGCATAATTCAGTGGTTGAGATGTAAACAGTGTCAGTCAGAGTGGTTTGATGTGAAATAGTTAATTGTAGAGGAACCTACATACTCAGATTTCTTTACAGTGGTGGTGATGGGAACCAGGGGATGTCTACCAAGCAAATATAGCAATTATATTTAATATGCAAAACCACCAGTGAACCTACACAAAGTTTTGTAATGTTGATGATGGTAAAATGGCTATAAATCTGAAAAAAAAAAGATTTATTTTCAGACTATTTAGCCTTACAACATCCTGCATGTATCTCTCCACCATTAATGGGTTTTAAAAATACGTTTTAGGCCAAAACCTTGTCAAAACTAGCTTACAGTTTTGTAAGCAGTGTCTCAGGTATCAGGTGCTGTGTTTATAACCATTTCATGTAAAAACTTTCTGTAAGGAAGCTGTAAGAGGCATTAAACTCTTTAGAAGTCTGGTTCCTATCACCGCCACTGTGAGTTCTGGCTTTAGAACGGAGCATTTTCCTATCAAAGCACTCTGAATGACTTTGTTTACATCTTTACCATTTAATTATGCAGAAACTTGCAGAAAATTCTCTGGTATTACCTTTATCTTGCATTTCAGCCATGCTCGCTCTCTCTCACTCTCTCTCACTCTCTCTCTCTCTCTCTCTCTCTCTCTTTTCCAATGATGGGTTGCTTTAGCTTGTATAAGTGCTATATTTACTCCATAGGGTGTTTAAGGAACAGCAGTGGACCGGGGGGGGATTGCTAGTTTGCCACTGCAGATGCTGTTCTGCATGCGTGTGATCTGGTTGTGTGTTTAACGAGCTCAGTTTCTTTGGTTGCTCTCGAAGAGCTATTAAAGTGTTCATTATTTGTAATAATTCAGATTATAGGTATGCTAATGTTTAAGTAGACAGAATGAATCTTGACAGCTCAGATAATCTGAAAGATTTTGATGCACCTCATACACTAGGGGGAGGCCTTTCTGCAGCAGCACACTGCCATTTTGCACACTGTCGCATTATATTAACATGTAATTTATGCCATCAAAAGTAGCTCAAAGCCTGTGCTTTAAAAACATGAGGTTTGAAATGAAGTACAACACTGCACAGGAGTCCGTTAAGATTTTATGTGGGTTATATTTTCTTTTTTTCAGAAATTTTAAGGATCCTATGTTTGAATTTAATATTGATTATTGGGAAATATTATGCTGCACACAGATGAGATGATTGTCTCTGTATTTGTTTATGTACAGAGAGACACTACTGTGCATGTAAAGTGATTTTTTTTGTAATTTTGGGAGTCTTTCTTGCAGAATCTGCCTTATTTGCTGATGACACCTTCCTGTTTACACTCTTTCATGTGTAGTCTGTTACTCATGGTACCACTTCAAAAAGATACATGGCAGGTTGAAACTTCATGAAAACAGTTACATACAATATATACTCTTACAATCGCCGTATATGATATAATCACAGTATCTGTTTTGTGTAGCGCAACATATGAACAGTATAACATGCAATACTGTGCATACAGGCCACAATTCACTGATTTCATTTCCAGTCGAAATGGCCTTAAAGTTTGAAAGACATATTATACAGCTTAAGCAACAAAATATAAGAGCGCCTTTTTTACAGCTTCCTTCTTGCTTTCTGTTCTTCAGAGAAATCTGCAGGGGTATTTTTTCCACACCTACAAAGTTCAGTCTTAGAAGTTGGTTGCATTTTCTGCTTATCTTCCCAAACACATTCAGTGATGTTGAGGTCTGGACTCTGGGGTGGTCAGGCCATGTTCTGAGAACACCAGCAGCTTCTTTGCTTGGTTTGCAATTTTCCAGTAAGAGCTTCTTGACATCTACACATCCTCTCAGACCCATATTGTTGAGTTGTCTAATCACAGTGGATGGATGGACAGAAAATGTAATTTTTTTCAAATATGAAGCAAGAGTGGAGCTTAATTTTCCCCTGTCTCTCAAAGATAAAAGCTATAAACACTTTTTTTCTCATGGTGACAGGTTTGGTGGTCTACCAGGTCTTGTACTGTAGCTAGGAGTCCCATTTTTTCTAGATCTTCTTGTTTGTCACTTCTTTTTCTTTGACTTCCCTCTTCCTTATGCATATGCATAGATTACCTTATATCTGATCTCCTCAGAAATATTTTAATGGCTGGTGGTCTCTGACTTTTGCACAGCTCTGTACTTTAAATTATACATTGTAAACCTTTAGCACTAAACTCTTTAAACACTGTGTCCACTCACTGTCCGCTCTATTAGATGCACCTGCGTTGTTGTTGTTCCACCCTGTAGATGTAATAGATATTTTTGGTGCCTTGTGAACATATATTAAGAATGCTGTTGTGGTATTTTCTGTTGCATATTTGACATTTTTCAGCTGCCGCTAGAAGATGTTTCTGAGGGAGCTTTAATATGTGAAAAGCAATATCTTTTAAATTCATCCGACATATATATTGTAATATTACTCTGTGCATTATTTATGCTTTGTTTCACACAATCAAATGCTCAAGGACATTCAATGTGTACACATATGCTTAGTTTTTCAACTATTAGCATGAGAATTGGCTCCTCTGTTTGAAAACGGAGCATATTCCATTTCCACCAGAGCACAAATGAAACTCTAGGTGTGAATTTTACCATGAGTAATAGTAAACAGACATATTGTTATTTTAAATGGCCATAATAGCTGAGTCACATCTTCAAATAATGTTTTTTTTTATGCACATGCTTTAGCACTCTTTATTTTTAATGCTGTTTCCAGAACCCGCAGGTAACCTCATTTCTGAGGTTCTGATGGTGTTGTATGCGTTCATGGGAGATGAGCCTAATTCACTTGAGCTGCTGTTTTTAGTGAATATGAGGGTATAAGTGCTTGATATAATAGGAGCTGCTCTTTAAATTCTTGATGAAATCTGTCTCAGTAACATTCCAGCAGAGCATAATCAAACAGAGTAAGTCATAGCCATCTGACTAGATGGTGGTGGAGAGTGTGCATTAGTGTAGTTAAGATGCATACAATAACTGACAGTTTATAATGGAAACCCCTCCAGTGTTCAGAGCGGAACTACTTTTAGTTAACCTCTCTTGAAAATGTGGAAGGAATACCATGGGCATACACCGATCAGGCACAACATTATGACCACCTCCCTGTTTCTACACTCATTGTCCATTTTATCAGCTCCACTTACTATATAGGTGCACTTTGTAGTTCTACAGTTACAGACTGTAGTCCATCTGTTTCTCTGCATACTTTGTTAGCCCCCTTTTACCCTGTTCTTCAGTGGTCAGGACCCCCATGGACCCTCACAGAGCAGGTACTATTTGGGTGGTGGATCATTTTCAGCACTGACATGGTGGTGGTGTGTTAGTGTGTGTTGCGCTGGTCTGAGTGGCTCAGACAAAACAGTGCTGCTGGAGTTTTTAAACACTGTGTCCACTCACTGTCTGCTCTATTAGATGCACCTGCATTGTTGCTCCACCCTGTAGATGTAATAGATATTTTTGGTTGGTGGACTATTCTCAGTCCAGCAGTGACACTGAGGTGTTTAAAAACTCCAGCAGCACTGTTGTGTCTGATCCGCTCAGACAAGCGCAACACACACTAACACACCACCACCACATCAGTGTTACTGCAGTGCTGAGAATGATCCACCACCCAAATAGTACCTGCTCTGTGAGGGTCCATGGGGGTCCTGACCGCTGAAGAACAGGGTAAAAGGGGGCTAACAAAGTATGCAGAGAAACAGATGGACTACAGTCTGTAACTGTAGAACTACAAAGTGCACCTATATAGTAAGTGGAGCTGATAAAATGGACAATGAGCGTAGAAACAAGGTCATAATGTTATGTATGATCTGTGTAAGTATATGCAGTCGAGTGTAAAGGTGTGGACGCCCTGCTCAAATTGCAGGTGGAAATAAGTTAACATACCCTCTACACTTCTTTACATGTT